CTCCTCCTCCTCCTCCTCCTCCTTCTCCCTGCTCACCCTCGTCATCGTCCCCAGTGGCCTCCGTCGGAGGGCCATTTGGCGACTTTGCGAGGGTGTCTCGAGCGGGAGTCCTAGATTGGGACACGCCCAGGTCGACTTTTGCGAGACTGTCTCGAGCGATAGGCCTGGACAGGGATAGGCCCGCCCAGAGCGCCCCAGCGGGCCCGGCGCGCGCCGGCAGATCCCCCGAAATGGTCCCTGGGGGCGCGGTGGGGCCTGGCTTTCTCGAGGATGTCTCGAGCGAGCGCCCCGGACTGGGACACGCCCGGTGCGCCCAGGCGCGCGCCAGCAGATCTCCAGAAGTGGTCCCTTGGGGGCGCTGTGGGGGCCGACTTTCTCGCGCGCCGGGGGTCGACTGTGGGAGGATGTCTCGAGCGAGAGCCCCGGACTGGGACACGCCCAGCGCGCCCCAGCGCGCGTCTGAGGACCTCCTTGGGGAGGCTCCGGGGCCCGGTCTTCTCAGGATGTCCCCCACGCGAGGGCGCCTGTTTGGGGTTCGTCGCCGCATTTTTTGACTTGCTTGGAAATGGAACAAGAGGGCTCGGGGAGCGGGTTTCCTGAGGATGTGCGACGCGAGGGCGCCATTTTGGACATCGTCGACCGATGTCCAGGATTTCCCAGCAGAACATCAAGAAAACTTCTGAGGGCCTCCTTGGGGAGGCTCGGGGGGCCGGTTTTCTGAGGATGTCCCACGCAAGGGCGCCGGTGTGGAATTCGTCGCTGGATTTCCCGGATGTCCCAGATTTCCCAGAAACGGAACTGGGGGGGCGGTTGGCGGGCCCATTCCCTCGCGCGACGCGGGTCAGGATGACGTGAGTTCTCAAGACAAGCTCCTTCAGATTATTCGCCATCTCTCGCAGGATCGCACATCTATGTGGCTGAACGTTTCGGTCCCGCTCGCGTGCACGCCAGTTGAAGCAGCTCAGTGGCTTCACGTTTGCACCACCGAGTTTGTCATCGTGCTACAGTCGGGGCCCTGAAGAAGGAGCCCTTTTCGTTGGGGAGGGGCTCCGCGTTCCTTAAGCGTTTCGCAGCTTGCCTCAGGTTTTCCTTATGTTTTCGATCGGGAATCGAAGTTTAACTTATGGAAAAAAGGGGCCTCGTTCATTATTTTGGGTTCCTTAGGTCAAAGCCCCGACTGTACTATGTCCGCTCCCCCTCCCCTACAATCTGGCGCTGAACAAAACAAACAAGACTCGCCGTCAACCAGCATCGTCGTCAGCGCGGCCTTGGACGGTGCCCCGACTGCGCCCGACCGGCGTTGCTCGTGTCCTCGAACTGCTTCAGGCGGGCGATCACGTGGCCCACGCGCATCTCCAGGGCGGGCTCCGTCGCCGGGCTGCTCGCCCGCCCCCCGGCTGCCAAGGCTGCCGGTCTCCTCCTCCTCCTCCTCCTCCTCCTCCTTCTCTTCCTCCCCCTCCTCCTCCTCCTCCTCCTCCTGCTCGTCGCGCGGGTGAACTCGTCCGGAAGGGTGTTCATCATGGCCTTCATGTCATGTCCTGCATGTTCTTGGACGGCTGGGAGTCCTCGGAGGACGCTGTCGAGTGACTAGCCTCCCCCTCGCTGTCGATATCGCTCGCGGGGGGTTTCGTTTCTGCCAGAGACGCCGTCGGACGCCTCTCGCAGCAGCTGTAGACACCTCGTAGTCCCAGCCCGGCCAGAGGCGAGTGGACAGCTTCGACTCGTCCTTGACGTCGCCAACCCCGATCGACCCATCAGCTTTCATGTAGATCCACCTCGTGTCGTTCTTCTTCTCGGGGCGCAGTCTCATCACCACGAGCACCACCAGCCCACCCTGAGGGGCCGTCGTGCGACACAGCTTGCTCCTTCTCGACTCATTGAACTTCTGAGTACGGATGTACAGTCGGGGCCCTGAAGAAGGAACCCTTTTTGTTGGGGAGGGGCTCCGCGTTCCTTCAGTGTTTCGCAGCTTGCCTCAGGTTTTCCTTAGGTTTTCGATGGGAAATCGAAGTTTAACTTATGGAAAATAGGGGCCCCCGTTCCTTATTTAGGGTTCCTTAGGTCAAGGCCCCGACTGTAGTCGTAGATGCTGGGCCGCTCTGACTCGCGGGTGTGCCTCTGGGACGTGCCGCCCTCGGGCTCCGCGAGCGGCTTCGCCAGGATGGGGCCGAGGACGCCGAGGTCCCCGAGGCGGGAGAGGAGGGTGGCCCCGGCAGGCCATCACCGCCCGGTGGTGCCGACGATCGCGCGCCCGGCGCCGAGCTCCCGCGCTGGTGGCGCGAGGGCCACGCGCGCCTGGCTCCTGCGGCACGGGGGCCCGTTTGAGCCAGAAAAGGCTTGAGCGGACACGAGTGGCCCCCTGCTCAGCATCTTGGTGGTACTCTGGAAGGCGGGGATCCTGGGATCCCCGCGTCGGCCCGTAACACGATTTTTCCCAATTCTGAGGGAACTATCATACACGGCCTTACCCTGCATCACCCCAAGACACGGCCAATTAAGTTTGGAAAGCGATCAGTTGTGGATTCACTCACACTTGCCATTCGTGTTTTTTGTCAACGGGAGTGCTTCCCTCGTCT